GTATATGCAAGAGTAAGCTGTCTTTGTAAACCTTCTTTCTCACAGAACTGATCAAATTCTGCAGACTTGAACTCCCCTCCTCTGTCACTTCTCAATGTTTTAATCTTGAAACCACTTTGTAATTTTGCCATAGCTTTGAATTTCTTAAAACAGTTGAACGCATCTGACTTATATCTCAAGAAATAGACCCAAATCATTCTGGTAAAATCATCTATCAGCAGCATGAAATACTTATTTCCAGCAAGTGACTCAGTCTTCATAGGTCCACACAAATCGACATGAATCAATTCAAGTGGAGCAGTTGCTCTATACACCTGATTTCTAGAGAATTCTTCTCTGTGTTGTTTACCAAATTGGCATCCTTCACAGACTCCATTGTACTCTGCAAGCTGTGGCAAACCATGTACCATTTCCTTGTCTCTCAATTGTTTGAGACCACCAAAATGTAGATGTCCAAATCTCCTGTGCCAAATCTCAGTGGAGTGAGTAACACTTGCTTTCAGCACCATTTGATTTTCAGAGAACAAAGTCAGTGGATAACACCTATTTACTTTCTTTTTCACTCTCATAACCAAGCATTCTAGTGATGGACCATCATACACATTGCACATTCCACCTCCAAACACCAAGAAGTATCCATGTTCATCCATCTGACCAACACTGAGTAAGTTCTCCTTTAACCCGGGAAGATACATTACTTCTCTAACATATTTTCTCCCTTTATTTGTATCAATAACTAAAGATCCCATTCCTGCAACATTCACAAGATCTCCAGTTGGCATTTGGACTTTAACAGCTACATTGGTTCTAACCTCAACAAGCAAATCGACATTTCCTGTCATGTGATTGCTACAACCACTGTCTACATACCACTCTCCATTCACCTTTGGTTCTGTGACAGTGTTGTTTGCATAAAACAGATTTCCTGTCATCTCCAGTTGACTTGCATTATTTGCCTTTTGCACTGACCTGCCTACATTACACTCCCTAGCCCAATGCCCAAATTTATCACAGTTGAAACACTTTGGTTTCCCTTTGTATCTACACTCACCAAAGTGATACTTAGAACACACTTTGCACTGAGGCTTTGCAACCTCCTGACCCACAGACTGAGGTGCATTTGCACTCTGATAATTGTGCAGAGGAGATTTCTGCTGAAATTTGGGTTTTGATTCCCATTTCTTACCTTTAGAATTCCAATTTCTCTGAGTTCTAGATGAACTCGAATGACCACCACTCTTGTTCTGCTCCTTTGGATTCACAGAGAGTGAAGAGAATGCTCTCTCTCATTTGCATCAACCATATGCAAATCGAACCGTTGTTCTTGACTCTTTAAGATTGCAACTACTTCCTGCAATTCCACAGTCTCTAAGCACTTTGTATTTTCTATAACCAAACAGATAGAATCATAAGGTTTGCTAAGACTTATCAGGACCTTCTGCACTAGTCTCTCATTCGACAAAGATTCACCAAATGTTCTCATCTGATTTATTAGATCATTCAACCGTGTAAGATAGCTAGACAAAGACTCATCATCTCGCATCCTAGCATATTCAAATTCTCTTCTAAGATTCTGCAATTTCACAGATCGTACCTGATCACCACCATGATACTCTCTCCATACAACAAATCCCATGCCATCTTCGCTGACTCGGCATTGGCGATTCGAGGGAAGATTTGATCCGAGACTGCATTCTGAATGATTCCCAAAGCCTTTGCGTCTTGCATCAACACAGCTGACATTTCTTCATCTCCATCATCCTCCGACGATCCTTCAGACTTCTTCTTCTTCGGATCCGACGTTTTAACTCCTTTCTCCACCAGATTCCACAACCCATGTGATTTGAAGATTGTCACCATTTTGATTCTCCAGAACTTGTAGTTCTCACCGGAGAAGATTGGAGTCCTCACTTCCGAGCCTCCAGATCCAGACATGGTTTTGATCTGAATCGACAACCTTCACAGAGTTTCAAGAGAGCTTCGATTGAGCTCGACTACTTCACAGATTTACGCCCAGATTGTTAAATCCAACCAGGCTCTGAGGCCATGTTAGTGTTTCTGAATTGAAGAGATTTAAACTTAAGAAAGAAAGCTTAACTAATAGCAAAAACAAACCGAAGAACACAATGGAAGATGAATAGTTTTCTTCTTCTCTCTGTCAAATTGCAGAGAGAATATTTCTCTGTGTTGATGAAAAAACACGAAGCACATGCTTTTACATAACTGATGGCCTAGCACTTGGGACCACACATACACTACATTTCATCCTAGACACACATCTTTCTAATCTCATGGATCACTCAACACATGGCACTCATGGCCTTTTTACAAAACTAGACATTTACACTTTGCCTCATTTGCACAAGTGAATACACCAATTCAAAACAGAAACTTATTCTAAAAAACTTTTCAGCTCAAATACTTATAATTCAACAGATGGTACTGTCCTCAAATCCTTTAACCCTCTCCTTCATCGGAATAAGAAGGTGGATTTCATCGAACAGTTCAATGAAACGCTTCTTGTAAAGCAAGAAAATGAGAACCTTCAAATTCTTGATGTGAGGGACTTCTTGATATCTTGTAGAAGTACTATAATTTATTCATTTGGATTTGTACGTCTGACTGCTATTATCTGTAGGTTCGCAATTTTGAGATGACAGAGGTAAGCAGAACTCAATTCATGACACCATCGGCCTTCATATTTCTGTATGAGAATCAGTTATTCCTGACGTTTCGGAATCGAACCGTGGCTGTTTGGAACTGTAATTTCCAACCTTTTCACCCTTGGAGTAGACCGTTGGCCGGACAAGGTCACAAATGTTGTCCAGAATAACATCATCTAGCTTGTGGAATAACGGTACCTATAAGTAGTAAAAAGGAAAATAGACGGTATTATATTGCAGCTAGCTATTGATATATGTAGTTATTAGACAAACCGTGCGTGTAATGTCAAAATTAAAAATGATTAAATAGTGATAGAACAATTAGTGGAGTACATCCAAAGAATATTAATTTTATTTTCAAAAACTCAAGTAAAATGATGCAATAATTAACATATAAAACGAGGTCCAAAAGCAAGCTAGAAGACCTGGTAATGCATGGGTCCTATTTTTTCGTATTCGTGCCCTGTTGATCACAAATCATATTTTCTTCAGGTTATGCGTTGGTAGCAACAGAGAATAAGGTCCACGAAAGGATATGGATGTTGTTAGACTAATCGCTCGATTTAAGTGATTTCTGTTTAGTCTACTGAGGAAATGAACAAAATAAACAAGTACAAAACATAGAAATGAAGCTCGCACAACACAAGCGGTGCGCTAGTGGGGTGTTGACTCGGGAAACCAAGTAGTCCTGTGCATATGTCACTCCTTCTCCATATGTCAGTCAGACAGTGGAGAAGTAGCCTACAGGGCCTACGTGTATAACCCATTTACTTTTGGGTGGTAAGAAACTTAAGGCATGGTTACTTGGATTCAATTTTTTAAATTAAAATATAATTTTCAAGTTTTAGGTTTTAAAAACTTATTTGGTAAGACTATTTAAAAAAATTAAACTCAAGACTAACAAAAAAAATATAATCTATTCTCTAAAAACATAAAAAGTGAGTTTTTAAAATTTTTAAAGTTAAACTCACTAATTTATTTTCTCTCCCTCCTCCCCTCCCACTCCAAATCTATCTCTCACCCTTTTCTTCTTATCTTCTCTTTTTTTTTTTTAACTTTTTCGTCTCTCCTCCAATCTGCTCTCTTTATTCTCTCGGTTCTTTCGCTCACTCCTCTTCCTCTCTATCTTGTCCGGGCCTCTCTCTTCTTTCTATTTCCTTCAATCATCTCTTACTTTCTTTCATCCTCTCTCCTCTTTCTCCTCTCATGCGACCTCATCTTTTTAGATCTCTTTTTATAGTTTAAGTCGTAAGATTTAAAAATTTTAAATTGCAAACCAATCAAGTTTTTGAGTTTAAAAAAAATGTTTTCAAGAAATATTTTTAAAAAATGTTTTGAGAAATGATAAAAAATTTCAAATAGGATACCAAACAGGCCCTTAAAACCCACAAATTTTAGGCTGACTAAAGGTCTATATAAAGGAGACGATGGATCCCTATAAAAGATTAGATTACTATGTAATGTACTGAGAGTTATTGTAATTCACACCCAATATATATTAACAGGATAATGTTAGGGAGGCAAAATTTTGGAAACTAAAGGCAATGAAAGTTGATGATTGATTTATTACTTAAACGTTGCTAAACGTGTTTATTTCTATTGGTGACACATCATTTAGTTTCTAAATTTAATCTTCTTAGCATTACCATATATATATATATAATTATGATCTTTGATTCAAATTTTTTCTTGTAAGCATGATCTTTAAATGTAGATTAAGAAATTAAAAAATTATGATTATGAAATGTCTACGGTGAATATACAATTATGATTATGAAATGTCTAAGGAGGTCAACAAAGAAGCTTGATTTCTTCTTTTAGAATATTAATAGAAAGTTTCTCACATATATTTTTTTATTTATCAATAAGTTTTTCCACAACTTTCTTTATTACAATGGTACTCTAAAATCTAAAAAGAAAAAAGAAGCATGACTTCTTCTTTTAGAATATTAATGGAAAGTTTCACACATATATTTTTTCATTTATCAAAAAGCTTTTACACAACTTTCTCTATTACTAATGTAAAAAAAAAAGGTCACACTTGTATTTGAGCTTGGAGTTAAATTCTATGTTAGACTACTTTCTATTTCTTTTGTGACTTTAGGAATAAGAAATATCCTTCATAATTTTGTAGTAAAAAATAAAATTGTGAGGAGCCCTTTATTAAAATTCCTTTTTCCATATCTAAGAAATTAAGGCTTGGATTTAATGAATGAAAATCGAGGAAAATAAAGAAGGATCCAAGTCCTAAAAGAAGAAATCAAACATAACAAAGAGCAACAAGGCTTAATAATAACACGATTTACATTTCATTACACATAATATTGTTACAGACTCTTCTAAATACCACCGACTAGTGTAGGTAGCACATTTACTGACATAATTAAAAACGAAAATTACAACATAATCTTACATTCCTCCTTATTACTAGCTAGCATTAAACTTAAATGGAGGAAAGGAAACCATTAATTTGCACAGTAGAACGCCACATAATTCAACACCAATTGACCCCAATATCTCCTCATCGTCAATCTACACACTTGTTTCACATTTTCGGACTCTCCCGCTCTAGTGAGCTCGAGAGATTTACTGCAGCAGCTTGTTAATCCAGTCAAACTGAGGCATCTCCGACACCGACGCCTCCCCACCACCATAACTCTTCATCCCACAAGCAGCATCGATTTCACCTTGGTCATACTCCATCTCATAGTCACTCAGCTTCAACGCCCTCAGACTGTTCAGGAATTCCTCCACCTTCAAGCAAGACTCGTCGACGATCTTCTTGTTGGTCATCATAGTCTGATACTTCGCAGCCGTCCACGGTGCTTCCGTTGCCACGCCTCCTCCTCCACGGTTGGCCTTCGGGGTCCTTGGGGCCGCACGGTACAGGTCGCTGTTGTTCTGGTACTGGTAGTAGTGGTAGGGAGGATAAAAACCTGCTTGCTGATCATAAGCAACATAGTACTTGTGGCCGGAATACGTGTGTTGCGGGCGGAGCTCGTCGGGCGTATGAGCGAAGAAGCACACTTTGCGCGGGCAGTACCCATTCTCGAGACTAGCGCATGCACGGGTGCGGTACTTGGCCGGGTGGAGCCAATACTCGAACACTCCGTGAGCACATTCGCAACGGTCTCCCTTGCGGCAGTAACCGGTGCTGCGAAATGCCGGGCAAATAATCGCCGCGTAGGCGAATTTGCGGGGGTCACGGCGCTGGGCCTTCTCGCCGCGGTGAGCGTACGGGCACTCCGTCCAGTCGTGGGCTCCCATGCGTTGGCAACGCTTCACCTTGTAAGCGTACATCCGGAATTCGTCCGACCCAAAGATGGCATTGTCGATCATCGGGTCGTGGTACTGGCACTGGTACTGGACCGGACTCCTGAGAAGACCCGAATAGTACACGCTCAGGTCAACCAACTGGTAATAGTAACCCGGATGCACACCTTGCATCATGGCTTCGACTACAGAGGATTGAAAGAAAAGAGCTTATACGATATGGGACGAGTTGGACAGCCACCGGAGAGGGTGTATTTATAGTGTGGGGAGTGCTCTCTAGATAGGGTTAAAGTTTTAACTGTGATTTCAACCACCGTCAGCTAGTCGGTAACGGGCGTTAATATGTTGGAGCAGAAATATCAATTTTGGGTGTGGATTACATAAATTGCATTTGTATGGAGGTTGATACTCCAAGAGTGAGACAGTTGTTGGCAGAAATCAGGAGCTTCGGCCAGGTGTTGATGGGCGTTTAGGGAAAGGGATTGGATCCCTTCCTCCTAATCCACTAAGTTCGGAGATTCGTACTATTGAAATTTGATTCAACCGCTACAAACAGGGGCCCATTTTAAAAATTATAATAATTTTAGTTGTTTGATCAAATTTCAATGGTCCGGATCCTCAGACTTAGTGGATTAGGAGGAAGGGATCCGAAGAGTATCCCTTTCCAGCATTTAGGATGATTGACGCAGGACAGAACCAAGGGTATCGAGGAGAGGGAAAGATAGATAACCTGAGATTCGCTCAACCAGGAGCAACGGAGCTCGCTTACGTCGCTAATCGTGGATTCACTCACACGACCAAGCCAAATGCTTGATTTTAGAATGAGAAATCACTATCTTCAAATGCACAAGGCAAATACAATTTTAATTCATTCTAGTCTCCCATTCAAGGCTTTCTAGTACAATATTTATAAGCGTTTACAAATGAATAGACTTTAAGTTTCCATGATATCCTTACAACTCCCAAAATAACTTAAGAAATTCCTAAATAATTAAAATACAAAACATTTGTTATTCCAAAGCGTATTAATGGTTTCAAATTGTTTTCTCCAAATCTTCCTCCCGCATCAGTGATGACAGGGTGTAGATACGTCGTAATGAAGTCGTATTTCCACTTTTTGGTAATAGGGCAGTTACTGCATGGCGACCCACACGTGTAGGTGATAAGGGGAATGGCTTGTAGGGCGTCGAAACCTGGACATGGGGGCTGTGGGGCAGGTGTTAAGGGTTTGGACTCAAGATCTTGGGGTTGTTTAGGTGGCTGCCCTTGCTTTACTGCAGAGATCTGGTAATTAAAGGACAAATCAGTGAAACTAACTTGTCTTGACCGGTTGTACTTGCACTGAGATTGCTATCCTGCAGCTTGGCGTCGATCCCGCCATCCCCAATCCAGCGGCCTAGAGAAAAAAAGGGGACGAAAAAAGTAACTGTAAACAAGTTAAGACATAATATATTATATATATGGATAATGGACTGAAATTTAGGAACTTAAATAAAGAGATGGATTATATAGGAACGGTAATTAATGACTTGTATTTTGTTGAAGGACTCAAAGAATGTTGTCAAACAAATGATTTGATCACAAACAACACTTTAAATGTATGTACTACTTACCATATTAATAAAGTACATCGTTATTAGCACTCCAAAATAGTTATCATGTATTTTTCCCTTATACAAGAGAGAAAATATACATAAAGTACATTATGTTGTTTTTTAGAGTGTTAATAACAATTCCCTAAATGAATAAGGATGGAAGTCGATTGATGGTTTTGAGACGGAAATAGGGTTTCCAATTCTGATGAATCCACTAACTATTAATTTGATGTCGAAAATGGACCGGTAACAAACATTCATGATCTCGATGTGAGTGATGATTTTCTAGATCTGATTTTTTTCATCATGTATCTAGTAATTGTTGTATTTGGAATGCATTTATCTGGCTTAAACTGTGACTAAAACCACGACACCGTGTGATTTCAAAGCCGGGAAATCCCTAACTACAACTAAGACCATAACGCTTGTGAGGTGCAACTCCACTTTTCTCCAGATTGTAGTTTCTCAGGCGTCGGTCAAGGTAGAGGGTGATGCACCATATATTATTATTGCTCTACTATAAGAGGATGGGGAAGAGTTTGGTTATGAAATGAAAGTTGATTGAGGAGGCTGGAAGATTATTACTCCAACCCTAATTGAGCGATTTAAATAGTGCTAAGGCGATAACGCCGACAACTGTTTTTTCCAGATTTCAACCCTAATTTTGTAATCGTGACGTTAAGTCTTCGAAAATATTAACTAGAGCCGTAAATTGTTTTATCATATTAGAATAAGTGGTTCGGTATGGGATACCGAACCGAAACTAGTATCCCGAATCCCAAATCAAAATTTTTCGAGATAGGAATTTGAAGACCAATCCCAAACCAAATTTTCGGGAATCCAGAAATATTTTCGGGATTTTGGGACAAATCGGGGATCCCAAATTAAAATATGAAATTATGAATTATTCTTCAAATATAAAATTCAAGAACACATTCATGAACTAGGAGTGTCATTCCATTCACACTACCATTTAATCAAACACTTGCATGCTTGACTGTTTTTATCAGAGTCAAAATTCAAATTAATTAAACCTTTTTGGCAATCTGTTGAGAGATAAAAGAATCAAGCATTCTGAAATCATCAGCCATGACAACAGCAATAATAAAATCCAAATGAGTATCAAACAGAACATTAAAAATATGCAATGTGTAGGGCATTCCAGGTTGCAGAGCATGAATTAGAAACTACTAGCATCGATTATAAAAGAATAATATATAATATATATGTATAAATATATATAATAATAAATAATATATATTTTCGGTTCGCGAAATATCGAGAAGCCAATCCCAAATCTCGTACCGAAATTTCGAGATCGGTTTGAGATAGCATCCCGAAATTTCGGGAATTTTGGTTTGGGAAATTTTTGGTTTGGGATTGGGATTTTTTCGATTCAGTTCGAGATTTTTGGGAAATTTTTTCACCATTAAGTTATAATAATTATTTCACGTAAAATGATTTAACTATTATTTAATAGAACCCTTTCGTCGGTTAAAGAATATAGAACCTCAAATATACGGTATTGACATTAAAGAAGTTGATATATAAACTTAAAACTTTAGGCCAATATAATAATAACATTCTTTGTATGTGACCCTTGTTAGTTAATTTTAGTTAATCCAGCTTGTATGAACATAGAATTAGACAAACCTAGACAATTCAATCAATAGCATTCATACCAAGCTATAATTGGGCAAGTAGAGGGTAATTTTATGATCTAATTAAAAGTTGAGGTAACTGATGTCGAAATATTCCACGTTGGCAGAATGTGGAAGAAAATAAAAGTTTAAATATCATAACCTCATTTCAACTAGTATCGAGATTTTGTTATGATAAAACTATACACTTGACATACTATACAAATGATAATTAACAAGTTAAAGACAATATCATATACTATTAAAGTGAGCTTTTTACCTGTTTCTCTAATAATTTGAGAATTGAAAGTTACAAGTTTTTGGTCTTTTTAGGAGCTGTAAGCAAGTCCGAGTAGCTCTTTTGAGATGTCAAAAAATAGGACTTCCATGATGTCATTTGCTAATACGTTGCATCCTCTCGAGCAAATATATGCATGGCTTCCGATTGTATCTAGATATGGACCCTACCCTTTTTTCGGGTGGGGTGGAACCTACACCTCTCGCAATCCACGTTGGGGGTGAGAATAAAACGACAACGTTTTCTCTGCAGAGAAAGGCATAGAATCTTCAAGCAGAAGAGAGAGGCAGTGAAAAAACTGAAACGCATGCATGCAGAACACGTGGTCGATAGATAAATAAATGAAACGTAAATGTTGACAAAAGTTTTTGGCTTCGAGGCACGTGATGCTTACTTCCTCTTTTGTCTATGCCTATATCAAGTATGCGTTTCTTTCTTTCGTTTCTTGGTGAAAAAACGACAACCCCACCCAACTCTATTGCACCGCATCAGCAATTTATGAATCTGAGAGAAATAGGAAAGTATAACGTCATGTAATATATATATATATATATATATATAGGAATTGCTTAAGGAGAGGGATCCCCATTTTTTCAAAAAAATGGGGACACGCTCCCCACCGTTGGATTTGAATTAAATGAAATCCTGTGGTTGAGATTCTATGGCCTGTGTTTTAATCTCAACCACACAATTTCATTAAAGTCAATCTAACGGTGGGGAGCGTGTCCCCATTTTTTTAAAAAAAATGGGGATCCCTCCCCTTAAGCTCCCTGTATATATATATATATAAGATTAAACAGCAACAACAATCAAGCTTTATTTTATAAAGTGGAATCGGCTGAATGAATTCTATAACGTTATTATGCTCAGTTTTGCATTATTTATTCAATTAGCTCCAAGTACTCTATATATTTTCTTAAAGTCTCTTTCTTAATCTTCCTAGATCTTCCTCGACCTCTTTTGTCATGAGTCTCTGTCTCATAATTGCATCTTTTAATTGGAGTATCTGTAGGCCTTTGGTATACGTGTTCATACATAATTTATTGTGCCGACACATCCAATGAAGCATTCTCAACTTCGCTACACTCATTTTTCTGCACGTGTTGATTTTTGACCGCCTAATATTCTGTGCCATAACGCATTATTGGCCTTATTGTTGTCCTATAAAATTTTCTCTTGACCTTTATTGGCATACGACGACCGCAAAACACACCTGATGCACTCTTCCACTTCATCCACTCAACTTGTATTCTATGGTTGAGATCTTCATTGTTTTGCAGGATAGATCCAAGATAGTGAAAGCGTTCACTGTTTGGTACTTCAAGATCTCTAATCCTCACTCCTATCTCATTTCGACCCCCATTCCCACTGAACTTACACTTCGTATACTCTGTTTTGTACGTACTTAGGCGAAAACCTTTAGATTCTAACATTTCCCGCCAAAGAATAAGTTTTGCATTTACTCCCTCATGCGTTTCATCTATAAGCACTATATCATCTGCAAGAAGCATACACCAAGATATATCATCTTAAATATGTCCCATTAACTTGTCCATTACCAATGTAAAAAGGTACGGACTTAAAGTTGAACCTTGATGTAAGTTATGCTAAAACTTTCAGTTTGTCATTAAGGAGCTCTTACTGCAGGCATTGCTCCATCATACATGTCTTTTTTT